TGAGTGATAGTGGTATAGCGGTTGACCCTCCAGGTCACAAATAGTGTAGTAGTGTTTTGTCATCCCTGGGCCTAGTAGGCTCGGACTGTAGCTAGCAGTCGGGATGGGGGAAAAATCTGTCTCGTATAGATCTATTCACGTAGTGATCGCTCTCCCTCCAAGAGGCACTGGTTACCCGATGATCGCATAGCGAAGCGTCGTATAGAGAAATAGTGCATCACATTCTATTATAGTATTTCCTCTCGTATAGTATAGAGAATTCTTTTAGTGTACTATGTAGTGTTCTCTTGATGTTGTTTATAGTGTCTCTTCTTATAGTGTACAGTGTTTCCTTAGTATAGTGTATAGTGTTCTCTTCACATAGTGTATAGCACATATAGTCTTGTAATTATACTGACCATAGTGCGCATCATAGTAATAGTGGTAATGAGTGGTAATCCTTAACTATACCTATTATAGTTAAATATAGTTGTTTAGTTGAATGCCTTTGATATGTAAAGATATTGCACTGTAGTGAAGGCTTTTATATCCAACAAAAATATATGATATATAACTAAGAATTCAACGACAGTCGGACAGATAACCTAATACCCTAAGTCTACAATCAAACAAGAACAGGAAATACGGTAAGTTATCAGTTCTAAGTCCTTCAATCCTTACTTATATAAATATATTGGTGTAGATATGATTTGGAAAATAAAATAAGTTTTGAAAATTTTGAAAAGTAGTTTTTAGAATAATCAATCCTGAAAATGAGTTTGATAAATATTTGAAACAACTTTACTGGCAAAGTAAATTGAAAATGTAGAAAATTCTTTTGACAATAAGTTATAAATCACATATGATTAGTACTAAAACTTGCTTGATTCAACTTGTATCCCCCCTATAAAAACATTTAAAAGAGTTTGAAAGGTTAGTTTAGGGGTATGAACTCACTGTTTAACGTAAAGTCCGAGAGTGTGATTGATATGAGTGCTGAGTGTCAACGGATGCTCTGAATGCAAGTGGTCCCTATTAATCATATGGTGACACATATATGAGTTACAGCTAGGGTGTTTCACGACTAAACATGATGGGGAATCACCCTAAGGGCTTGAAATCACCAATACTAGGTGTCCCGTGTCCCATACTTAATGATCTATGCAAGTTTAAGGCCAAATATGAGCATTAGAGTGGGTGTATGGGCATAAAAATGAGTGTGCGGCTGGCGAATGCGGCCAGACTTGAGTGTGAGGCTGTACACTGGAGTGTGCGGCTGTACACAAGAGTTTGTGGCCGTACACTCCTTGTTTGAGTCCTATGTGTCGATTTTGAGAGGTTTCAAGTGTCAAACTAAGTCTTAGATCGATTATAGAGGCCATACCCTCACTTTGGAGGGTGTTTTGAGTGTGTGCGGCCACCTGATGAAGGTGTGCGGCCGCACTCTTTCAAGGGGTGAAGAACACGAAGAACACTATGAGTTTTAGGCTTGGATTCAAGTGTTTTACCTCTATAACAAGCTAAAAGATGATGTTTTTCATGTTTTGGAGGCCTTCTAAGTGTTCTTGGGTGATGTTTTTAGAAAGAGAAAGCAGAGAGAGAGAGAGAGAGAAGGTGCAGCCAAAAGTGAATGGAAAGGGTTCCTCTACTATATATAGGGTCGGGTGTGAGGCTGGAGGGGGTTTTGCGGTTGGGTGTGCGACTGGCTGTCCGCACACACCTCTCTTAGTGTGATTGGCTGGATTTTGTGATGTAATACCGTTCCTAACCCTTCCTAAGGCCCACATCTATGATATACTAGGCCTAAAACACTCGCGCGGACCCAACATTATGCTAAAAGATGCTAAATTCAAGTGAATGATAGATATATGGATTGATTGCACAGTGTAGAAATGTCGGGTTGTCACACATTGGCTAAGCCTGATCCCCCGAATATGAAACCATTTAGACATATTTGCTATGCCTTATCCCACTTGCTCAGTTCTTCGAGCCCTTGGGACACACTGGCCTCGCCCAATCCCCTGCTCGGATATACCAAGCCCTCCTATATGTATTTCTCAATACATGAATGAATACCATACAACCACTAGACACTTATTCAACCTAGTTCTACCAACATAAACATCCTATAAAACACACGATATTAAGAAAAGAATGCACAACATCACACAATATAATGATAAACTCACTTCATGTAGGAAAGTATACCTCCAACTGTAGCCTAGAACCTACTCACACCAAGTCACCCATTAACACTCCTAAGAATAGAAATCAAGATTAAAAAGGGCTACCATTCACCCTAAACATATAATTAAACTACTAGGTTAAATTTTTAGATTTTAACCCGAAACATTAGCTTGTTTAAGACCAATTTTACCCCTTTAAACTCATCCAAACTAGATAAATAAGCCATATTCATAAAGTTCAGGTCAACACCTTTCCAAGGACTACTTACATAAGTTGACATGACTTTCCTACAATTTAATTGGGACCAACCTCAAGTCAGGGAAAAAATCAAGAACATATTAGACTCAAAATATGAACTTTTAAAATTTATGGATCCTAATTTTGACTTCCAGTGATTTTTATAGAATTTTTATAAGACAAGGGAAGATTAGGCATTTTTGATAATATCCTAGCTTTGACTTATTAGGTTAATTTGGCATCTTAACCCAATAAGTCATTAACTATGGACTCTAAATATTGGAAATTAAGTTCTTAACATTATTGTTAACACATTGAATCAAAAAGCCAATAATAATTCCAAGCCCACACTCCAAAGTACATTGCTTTAAGGATAAAACACTACAAGAAAACAACCCTTTAATGACGCGCAAACAATGACACTCGCTGATAGACGACGCGCATTTGTAAGTGCCCTAAAAGATAATGTCAGTTTTGCAAAATTTGAAGGATATAGGGCACGCATTTGTGCGCACCCTAAAATAAGTGTTAGAAAAGAAAAAAAAGAAATGCGGAGGGCGGCTTTCATAAAATGTGCGTCATCTAAATGTGCCACTTTATATTTTTTAAGTGAAACACGCGTTTTAGGCGGGGAAATGAAATCGATGAAAATTACCCCTGCCTATTGAATCCCAAAAATTAATCCCCCTGCCTCTTCTATTTAGCAAGAAAAAGCCCTAGGTCCTTCATCTTCATCTTCAGTATCATCAAACATCTCATTCATCAGATCTCTACTCGATCTCCTTCTTATCAGTATCATCAAACATCTCGTTCACTGCCTCCACCCTATCTATAACAAATCTCTCTCTCTCTCTCTCTCTCTCTCTCTCTCTCTCTTCCATTAACCACAACAAATGGTTTTTCGAACACAAGTCAAGGAAAACCTAGGTCGATTCTCCAGGTTTTAGCAACAAATTTATGGACATCCATATACATATTGTGATTTCAATGTCATCTTATAAAATCAACATTCCCTTAATTTCAATTTGATGCAGGTAATACACGACCAACTACAAGTCTCTCTCTCTCTCTCTCTCTACCCCCTACTATTCGCCAACAACCTAGGCACCCACCACCCCTCGTCTGCTCTCTGGTTCACCACCGCCACCAATAAAGCCGCATTATACCACAAGATTCAAGAATGAAACATTGGGTTTGTGTTTTTAAATCCCAGGTACAAGATTTGTTGAGGTTATTTTTTCTTAGTCTGCTAATTTAGTATTTTTTTGGTTTTTTAGGGCTTCTCATGGTGTGATGATGATGCGAAGAAGGGTGACACTGGTACGCTGAGTTACTCTCTATTCTTGCAATTGCAAGATTTCTTTGATTATTTCATTAGTGTGTTGCTGATAAACGAAGCTTTGATCTTGAAATGCAAATCACATTCTTGTTTTTTTAAAGTTTGGAAATTGGATCTTTGATCTGTGATGTTAGATCTTTGGCTCCCGATTCAAGAATTTCGATCTTAAACTCTGTAACTAGTTTGTTTGTTTTAGTTAGTAGATCTATTTTCTTAAATTTACAAATCAGATAGAAAAGGAAAGATTTGATCTTACGTAAAAATTTTGAACCTATTTCTTGCGATCATATCTCCTCTTGGCAAACTCTATTTTAATTAGAGGGTAATTTTCTAACTTCACAAACATATGATACAACTTGCTCGATTGAAGTCCAATTTTCGAAAGTCAAAACCATTAAATTCTATCATAAGATCTTCTATCTTATTAGTTATTAGCTACAAATTTTACCATTATGATTCATGTTATGTAAAATTAGTTCATTATCATTTTGCTATTAGAGAAAATTGAATTTTTTTTTATAAATTCTCAAGTCAAGAAGCAACTCGATTGACTTGAAAAAGTCAAACACCGTTTCTTTCCATGATCAGTTTGTCAAATGTGTGTTGCTGTTTGCAGGATTGGTGTTGATTGAGGTCTTAGCCATCCGACTTCTTACACCTGGGTAAGACAATTATAGATTTAAGGTATTTTTGTTTTTTTTTTGTTTCGAAGTGCTTCTCGATGCCTACAACCCTCAGCCCATCCATTTTCTTCTATCTTTTGAAATCATATCTATTTTAGAACTCAATTTTAGGTTTTTTAGGTCTTTAATATTGATCCTTTTGGTTTTACAATCGTTCTTCTACCTCTTCTTCCCTACTTCGTCACTGTGATGCTGCTTCAGCTTCATTCAATAATTCTAGAAAATAGGGGACAAAGAAAATGGTATTGCCTGGCTTTGTTTATGGTGGTTCCATAGGTGGACCTCCCCCCATCCCCATTCCAACTAATCAGAACAGAGAATAGCAGTTTTAAGAACCCATATAAATTATTATCATTCTGAACCAGTTTCTTAGATTTCAATACCTGTTCTTAAATTTTGTTTTAAGAACCCATATAAATTGTTATCAATTTGAAGTTTTTAAAATTAAAAAGTTTTGACCTAAAAAACATAGTTTACCTTCTTCCAAAATCCAAACTAATATTTTAAATTGGTAAAAATATTTGCCAGGTTGTTCCATCATTTCTTTTCTGCTACTCTTTATTGGATTTTCTTCAATGCCCCTCTATCCACTTCCAAGTCACGATGAAAAGATGAAAATGCCCCTACAAACTTTTTGTCCATTTAACGTTGCACATCGGGATTCAAATGGAGAACTCCCAGAAGAAACTGCTCATTCTTACTTGGTACATGTTTTATGGCATACATGTTAAAAATATAGTTTTTAACTACAATTTTCATATAAGTTTTGGGTAATTTTGTTTCCTACAGAGGGCAATTGAAGAAGGCACAGACTTCACATAAACGAATATTTTAGTTAGCAAAGATGGTGTTCTTATATGCCATCATGATCATCTGCTTTAGTATGAATTGCATTAAATGTATCCATGATGCTCATGATTATCTGGTTTAGTAACAACAAGGAAAAATCTGATAAATCATCAAAATGCAAACACCAAACTACTAAATTGATTAGGCACTCTTTGAGTTATGAGTTCTTTATTCATTCCAGGAAACGGAATAAAAAGAATGCAATCTGGACCGATCCAGTGTAGAACAAAAGGGTGCTTCACAACTTGAAAGTAGGTCTCATGCTATATTTTACTATGAAACACTCACAAAAGTATCCATTTTGCTGAAATAGGCTCTCTTGGCACCCTCATATGTTGAAATCACCCTCTTTAATGCGATTATTTTTTCTAAAAAAAGTCCAAAAATAGTCCTAAAATCTCAATTTTACTTTACATATTATATACTTTTGTTTAACTTTTTATATATGTAATTTGTGCTTTTTTCCCATCTGAAAGAGGACCTTGTTGTTTCAGCATCATTAGATGAGATTGTTCGAGTTGGTGCTCTGAAAAAGAGGACCTTTTTATATATGTAATGTGTGCTTCTGAAATGGAAAGCAACTCCATTTCAGTTCACTGCACTTCTTGATACCACCCGCAAGAAGGCTAACCTCAACATTTTCAAATCCAGTGAACTTGGGGTAATACCAAAAATCTTTTTTTTTACTTGATGTTTAAGTCATGTCTTTTTATGGTTTTTGTTTGTTATATTATTGTAGTTGGACTCTGTAAGCTTACTTTCGCGGTTAATGATACTGCTAAGGAGTGCAGCAAGGATCACCCACAAGGCACAAGGGGTGACGTGTATGGCTGCCAAATGGCACATGTGTGCAACAATTGACATCTTTGAGTCACCGGAAGTGGATATTGAAAACCCAACTGCGGGGGGTGTTTTTGGGAACAGTAGCAATGGGAATGGGCTCCCTTTTGAACCACTGTCTTCCTATTTTGATGATGTTGGTGCTCTGAAAAAGAGGACCTTTCCATCCGAAAGAGGAAGTTGAAAGATATGATGTGGTGTTTAAAGAAAGATACAAGGAGTTAAATGATAAATTAGTTTTAACTTGCTACATTGCTACTTGTTAGAGTTTGAGTCCATATATGTCTATTACATGGCATGATGTTTTTTTTGTTTGTAACAGATTATGATTGAATTATTAAGAATATTGAAAGAAGGGAGGCTAGAATTTCTCATAAAGATGAAATAATGAAAGCAGTCGGAAAGAAATTAGGCTGATACAAAAACCCATGGCTGTAGCTCAAAATCCAATATGGTCAAAACAAAGGCAAGCTTTACAATAAAGAATGTGATCAATTCATGGTAAGAAAAAAACACCAACACTAGGATGCTATTTATATTTTATAATACACTAACAAACAAAAGTAGATTGGTATGCTATTAATCTCAACAAATTTTAAATTTTTACAAATTTGCATGGTTCACAAGCTTGGGTATGGAAACTGGGATGAATTGAAAACTGCATTTAGAACATCACCTTTGTTCAGATTTGATTGGTTTGTTAAGTCACAAATCACTCAAGAGCTTGCAAGGAGATGTGATACTCTCATTCGATTGGTGGAGAGGGAAAATCAATGTCTCAAACTCGAACATTCTGATCGTGGAGTCAATTGGGCAGCATTCCATCCCACTCTTCCTCTTATTGTTTCTGGACCTAGTGATTGCCAAGTCAAGATCTGGCGCATGAACGATATGTGTCTTTACAAGGTAGTTCATTTGTTGGTAAGCTTTTAATTTCCATCTCTTCTTGTGTCATACATTATCACCAAGATACTTTGGGATCACAAATCTCAATTATCAACTTTATCTTTC